TTACAAACAATTTACTACTAATATTGTTTGTCTAGTGTTTGTGCATTCCTATGTTTTGTAGACAAACAACGTAGTTGGAGGATGGATGGAATCGAGCCTTAACGATCATATCAAATGGAGGTTGGCGGCTTTGTGGAGTGAAGCAACATACAATTCAAGTAAAAGATCAAGTTCAAGCTTTATCCGCAACGTGTACCAAGTTGAGCTACAATGAAGATCAAGATCACTGCTTGGGTAACTTTAGTTTAAGTGTTATATTATGTGTGTTAAATACTCTAAGCTCAATATAATATACACACACATTTTATTGGTTTTTTCGTATATATATATAGTTATATATATATATACATAAGTTTTGGTTTCTATGCATATATATAGTTATATATATACATACATGTGTTTGGGTTTTTATGATATTACATACTCTATTGTGTTTTAGTACTTATTGCATAGAATATGTAATTTTATGAAAATAATGTTTTATTAGTTTATAGACTTCAATATTAGTTTATACATGTTTTACTAAGTCTATAAAAACGTTTTACAAAGTTTCAAAAGTTGGTTTATGTCAAAACATTAAAATTCAAGTATCTCATATTTTCATGTTTTGGACTATTTTGTAAAATAATGATATTTTTCATTTGGGAGGCCCTTTCTGATAACCAATCACTGTAGCATGTTTATTATCATGTCTACAATCATTCCCCAAAGTTTTACATTTTTGGAATTTATTTGATATTTTTAAACATGGTTTTAAAATCTGCAAATCAGCTTTTATATATGTCAGCTGTCGGTCGACCGCACCGGTCGACCGATCATTTGATCTTTCATCACTGGGCGACAGAGAGTCTGTCGGTCGACCGGTCCGGTCGACCGAAAGCTCCATCGGTCGACCGCACCGGTCAACCGATGATTGTCCAGAGCTGGTTTTCGTGCTTTTTCGCTCCATCGGTCGACCGACTGAATTTCCGGTCGACCGACAATAGAGCCATTGTCTCCTAACGGCTATTTCTGAGCTGATTTGTCTAGGGTTGTTTTGTCATTTGGTTTGGGGTTCTTGTTGAGATCTTGAATGGGTATAAATACCCAATTGCTGATCTCTTTTCAATAACTTAAGAAAGGTTTTAAAAAGCAAAGAAGTTTTTAAACAAGGGTTTGAAAAAGGGTTTAAGCTTGTTTTAAGCTTGTTTAAGGGTTTGGTTTAAAGCAGTTTTGGATTTCACAAGTGGAGGAGATTATCTTCTTGTTTGGGCTCATATCTCCATCTCTCCATCTTGATCTAGAGAAGTTTTCCTAAACTCAACTCTAGCTTTTATTTATAATTATTTGTTGATTATCATTTCTATTAAAGCTAGTTTTATATTGAGTTTGGTTTGATTTGATTTACTCCTTGTTTACACACACAACCATTGAGCCTATTGTATTTGCATACATCATATAATTAGGTTGTGGGATAGTGTGACTTTGAGTTGAGCTAAATTGAGTTCTCACCTTGTTTTGAGAACAATCATTTGTTATATTTGTGCTTATTGTGAGAATCATTTTGTATTACACTTGTACACCGAGAGGAGTGTGTGGTGAGAGTCGGGGATCGTCCCAAGAGGAGTGGCGTTGGTTGACGTGCCTAGAGAGAGGTTGTAACCGAGCACTTGAGGGAGACACGGCTAGGTCCAACACTTAGTGGGTGTAGAGTGTGATTGCAAGAGTGTGAGTTGTAGAGTTTTCGGTTAGCTAGAAAACCGAGTGTGTAGAAGAAGTTCCTGCTAATAACATCATCCTCCACCTGCTGTGATATCTCCTGAATATGGTCTTCCTCCACCTGCTGAGGGACTTGAGGCTTCATCATGTATGTCTCGTCAAATGTGACATTTCTTCTTGTCCTGTGGATTCTATAACTTGAAGCCTTTAACTCCATCTCTAAATCCCACAAAGACTGCTTTCCTTGCCCTCAGATTCAATTTACCATCATTGACATGGTAATAAGCTGGACACCCAAATATCCGAAGCGACTCATAGTCACTAGCTACTAAACCAGACCAACGCTCCAACTGAGTCTTCCCCTGTATCACAGTGCACGACAACCTATTCACGAGATGGCTCGCATAAACCAATGTCTCGGCCCAAAAGGATCTTGACAATCCACTCTGTGTCATCATACATCTCACCTTCTCCAGCAAGGTACGGTTCAACCTTTCAGCCACCCCGTTCTGTTGCGGTGTCTCACGTACTGTGAAGTGTCGCCTAATGCCGTGATCCCGGCAAAACTACAGAAACGGATCACTCATATACTCTCCACCGTTATCTAAACGTAGAGTCTTCACCTTTCTACCTGTCTGTAGCTCCACTTTCTTTTTCCACTCCACAAAAATATCCAGGACCTGATGTTTATGCTTCATCGGGTATACCCAATTTCTCCTGGAATAGTCATCAATGAAAGTGATAAAATAGTTGGCCCCACCAAGTGATGTATGCTTGGAAGGGCCCCAAACATCTGTGTGAATATAGTCTAATATACCTTGGGTATTATGAATAGCGGTGCCAAATTTTACTCTTGTCTTCTTCCCAAGTATGTAATGTTCACACAGTTCCATCTTGCAGGTCTTCGCACCCTTCAATAGCCCCTACTTCGCCAATACCTGCAGGGACTTATCACCAGTGTGTCCCAATCTTATGTGTCATAAGCTGGTAGTATCTTCCTCTGTGGTAATCAAAGCTGCCAGATCCCCTTCAAGTAGTAAATGTTGTTTTCCCTGATACCTCGCATCACCACCATGGACCCCTTTGTGACCTTCAGAGTAGCATTCTCCAAGATCACCTTATAGCCAGCTGCCTCCAAAGTTCCAAGTGAAATGATATTCTTCGTCAACTGAGGAACGAATCTCACTTCCTTTAGCTCCCGAGTCACCCCGTCACACATCCGGATCCGTACTGTACCAATACCACCAATAGGGCATACGTGATCATTACCCATGAGCACGACATCCCCTCTTTCCAACTCCTCAAAGCTGGAGAACCAATCCCTCCTAGGGCAAATACGGTATGTAGCACCAGAATCCATCATCCACTCCGTAGAGTCAGCGTAACAAACTGACGGTAGTGCAGAGCAGGAATAGCCTGAAGAATCTGTATTTGAATTGTCGTCACTAGCCTTGACAACATTCACTTCCGAAGCTTGTACAGCTTTCCCTTTATTCTTCCCGGCTTTATCTTTCAACTTTGGGCAGTCGTTCTTCCAATGTCCTTCTTCTTTGCAAAAGCGACATTGATTCCTACCAATATTTCTATGGCCACCTCTTGACTTCGATCTTGAGCGATCACCAGGACGATGGTTTGGACTATGGCCTCGAACTGCTAATGCATCTCCCTATGCCTTCTCGGAGGGTTCGCCATCACTCTTCCTCAACTCATAATTCACCAAAGCTGAGGTCACCTCCTTGTAGCTAACCGTAGTTCTTCCATTTATCATAGTGAGAACAAACGTTCCAAAATCATCCTCTGACAACGAACACAATAGTAGCATCGCCTTGTCTTCATCCTTAACCATGATATCTACATTGGCCATATCCAAAATTAGCTTCGTGAAATTGTTAACATGCTCCCGAATGGAAACTCCCCTCTTCATCTTGAATTGGTAAAACCTCTTCTTCAAGTGAAGCCGATTCTCAATGCTCTTCGTCAGATACTTCTCATTGAGTGTTTCCTACATTCTCTTCGCCGACGTCTCGTTCATTACGTCATAAATAAGATCCGGCATCAAGCATGACCGAATAACTCCACAAGCCCTACTATTCATTTTCTTCCAAACCTTGTCCTCCATATCAGCGGGTTTCTCTTGTAACTCAAGAGTCTCCTCCAAATTTTATGCATCTAAGGCGTCCATCACCTGACACCTCCACAAATCGAAATTGATCTTGCCGTCGATATTCGGAACATCAATTTTTGTATTATTGATGCTCAAACTTTGTATCGCCTTCGAAAGAGACGATCCCGATGTGCTTGTTTCTTCCATGTTGTCGATCTAATTCTTCAAATAGGAATCCTTTAGCGAATCCTTCGAACAAGCTCCCAAATCCAACCCGAAGTTCTGATACCACTTGTTGTGCGCAGCGGAAATTTCGGCAGCACCTCCGGTGCGTAAGGTGCACAACAAGAGATTAGATCGTAAGAATTCCTGTCTCACCAAGGAAACATAAATCTGAAGCGGATATCTCAACAAAGTGAGATATCGGCTCTTCCCCTCATCAGTTCTAGGACTGACCTGTCGAGGGATCTTACAAGCTATTACAAATTACAGCAAGAACACAACTTTTACGTGGTTCGGCAAATAGCCTACGTCCACGGGGTAAGGAGAGGGGAGATCTACTATTAGAGGGAGAGATACAATTGGGGTTTACAATCTCACAAATAAAACCCTCTCACAAACTCTCAGATCCCTCACACAAATATCCTCTCAAAGGGGGTGCTAAAACAAAGAACATCTACAAAAGACTAGCTTTTCCTCCTTTAATAGCCACCAAAAAACACTGCTCCTTTTGTTCTCTGTGTCTGCAGCAGCCGCCAAAAGAAAAAAACCCCAGCCCTGCACCTCTTTGTAGCCGCCCACAAAAAAAGTCTCCAGCCTTGCACTCAAACCTAGGAACAATTTGTTCCTATTTTATAGTCTGGAAAAGTTCGGCTGGGCCAGTCCAAGAAACAAAACATCTGCTTTCGTTCACTTCTGTTTTCACTCACGTGGGTGGCCCCCACAAGAAACGCGTTCACATACATATATATCATATTAATGCTTATATGTATATTCATGCTTAACTGTACTTGTAGCAAAGATATATTAATGCTTATATGTATATTCATGCTTAACTGTACTTGTAGCAAAGATTTAATGTCGGGGACTATGAGAACGACCTAGTCATCCAAGATTCCATAAAGAAAAAGTGTCAGAGTATATATAGAAATTGGAAGCATGAGTTGCATGTCTAATATCTTGGTTTAATAGAGAAGGAAGTACCTGATCCCAAGAACCATCCATCGAAGCGTGTGGATCCCAATGATTGGGTATCGATGATTGATGTGTGGCAAACTGAAGAATGGAAGGTATAGATCTCAAATCACATTATTAAATTGTCATGTTAATTTTGGAATACTGTTGTTATATATTTTAATAATATATTTTATATTGGTCATTAGACAAAATCTGATAAAGCGAAGTTGAGTCGATCAAAGTTGCCCTACAATCATATATCTGGTTCCCGATCATTTGCAGCAGCGATGTCACTAATTGTAAGTTTTGCTTTATAAGTTTTTACTTTTTAAATAGACTATAAATAGTTATTAACAACCTTAATGATAAATTTATATAATTACAGAAATCAAAAAATGATGGGCAAGCTCCCTCTTTTCCGGAATTTTACAAGGAAACCCACTACTAAAAAACAACGAAAGTATGGGTAAATGAGAAAGCACAAGATACATTTGTACGTATGTCCAATTTACTTTTGTTAAATCAATCTATACAAAAAACTTATATCTATTCATTAATGATATGGATCTTACATCTTTAAAAATGACAGGAGCGATTAGTCAACAAGACTATCGAACAATCTCAGCCCGAAGTTACATCCCCGATGAATGAGTTTGAGATCTCCATTGAGGTACTTGGAAGGAGGCCAGGTTACCTGAAGGGGTATGGGATCCACCTTCGAGGGAATTCATCTACCAGTTCTATTGCAAAGTCAGCTGAGCGAGATGCTGAGGTCGTGGCTTTAAAAGAGACAGTACCTATGCAAGCCGAACAGATAGCCTCACAAGCCGAGCAGATTGTCTCACAAGTCGAGCAGATGAACGCACAAGCTGAGCAGATGAACGAACAAGCTCAGAAGACTGCTGATCTTGAGGCTTTAGTGCATCAGCTATTTGCACGTAGCCAGCCTGCAGCGAGCGGTGGTAGTAGAGATTTCTCATCGAGACGAGGTCAGACTTGCATTTAGTTTTTCATTATTAGACTTATTTATGATTTCTAGACATACACTATTAAATTTAATGCTAGGAATTTAAAATTTAAACATCGACTATTTGTTATAAGTAAACCATGTGGAATGGTATGCATTTGTTTGTAACCAATCAAATTTTATGAATATAGGTGGCTTGGATCAGTATCAGATCCATTCTTTTTCTTAAAGAAGAAAAGAAAAAGAAAAAAAAGCTACAGAATTCTGTCAAGTCCGAGTGGAGCACATTGCAATCAAATTTATTATGATAATGAACTTAGCTTGGATGATCAGAGGTTAGTTATTTAAGGTTTCTTCCGGTGAAACTTAGTGGGTTGAAGAAAGTATTTCATTGACATTTTGATAGCTTTGATATCACAGACTATGAATCCATATTTCTTTTATTAGTTATTTACTTTAATAATTAATTTAATTTAATTTGGGTTGGTGGGGGTGGGGGTGGTGGGCGGTGAGTTTATGATTTCTTTGAAGAGAAGAAGAGAAGCTAGCAATGGAGGAAATATATATAGTAATTCATGAGAATGCCTGGCTCCCTGTATGTCACACGTGTGCACTAATTCTTGCTGCTTGAATTTGGTTACTGCGGGTGGCGTGCGAGGAGCCAAGCATTCAGTACTCTATAATCTCTCTCTATCTGTCTAATTTGTTAATCTCATCGTTTTTGTTGTATAGGTATATTCACCAAGGGAGTTTGACATTTATGAAACAAGAAATTCTTGGTAATCACTTCTTTTTATTTTATTTTTGTTTCAACACTTGTGATCAGTCGTCTTTCATTCTTGTTGTTATCTTCTGTTCTACCATGTTTTTTCCCTCACACCATCTAACCTTCACTTTCTCCGATTTTCCAAAATGTAGAAATCATTCAATTCACGAGATATCTAACCTTCACTTTCTCCGTTAAGGACCGATGAATTATGGTTTGATGTCCAAAGTTTTAGAATTCTTCTTACTATTTTTATTTAATAATCACTAGCAGTCATGTGTCTTGGATTCTAGAGATTATATATGATTTCATTGACATTTTATGTTCTGTTTCATTAAGCCATACTCATGCGTCCTTTAACAGTTGCTCCTTAGAGTAAGGAATTTGCCAGTGAACTGGTAGTTATGACAGTAAGGAATTTGCATTTAAGTTTTTTTATTATGTTCAATGTGTAAATATCTATTCAAACAAGAGCAGCAAACTATATGTATGAGAATGTATGCATTGTCTTATGTTAAAGTTTCTCCTTTTGATACAAAGTAACACCCTACTTTTGTCATGACTTGCTGCTGTTATTTATCACAAAGGCTCTTGTTCACTAGACGATATTACTTTGACATGAGAGTTTATTATCAATTGAATTCACTTAACAGTTTCCAGTTTGTCGTCTTTGTGGCTAACAGGTTGCATTACAATCACTCTACATGGACAAGCACTCTACAAGTCCTATTGCTCAAGAATTCGGGAGGCTTGTCAATCTTTGACGCCATTAGTACCTTCTGTCATCAACTATTTGTAATTAATGATACAAATTTGAGATTGTTGTTTCTAGTTTTCTTGATGTAATCTGTTTTTGAGAGACTTTATGTACTTGGGTATGCAAGAGGAAGTTTGTAAATTAACGTTTTTAGAGCTCAAGGGGGAATGGAAAAATAGACTTTTATGTTGATGTGAATGAGAGCAAATTTTTTGTGGATGTTCAGATTCAGTGTAGGCTTGTATTTGACAGAAAAAATATTACTTTTGGCGATGCAAATTAGTGTCGATAAGCGTCAGTAAAAGTAACACTTTTGTCGACGCTATATTTCGTCGCTAAATGTAACACTTTTGCCGACAAGATATTTTGTCACCAAAAGTAATATCTTTTAGCGTCGCAATCTTGCATCACCAAAGATGTAGTTTTTAGCGACGCTCTATTATGCATCACTAAAAGCTACACTTTTGCCGACGCAATCATGCGTCGCCAAAGATAAGCTTTTTAGCGACGCTACATTCTGCGTTGGCAAAAGTATACTTTTGCTGACGCATTGCCCTTTGCCGACGTTAAGTGCGTCGCCAAAATTACAAGATTTCGCGGCGCTATCCCACATATGGAAAAAACACTGCATGCTTTTGCCGACGCGAAATGTTATGCGTCGCTAAAAGTTGTACTTTTCCCGACGCATCAAGCGTCGCCAAAAGTGTTGACTTTTACCGACGCAGTGTGTTTGCGTAGCCAAAAAGTTTCCTTGACGCATTTTTGGTGACACGTTATCGACGTTGCATTTTGCGTCGGGAAAGATTTTTCCCGACGTTTTTTAAACATTTGCCGACGTTTTTCTTTTGTCGGCAATGATGTATTTTGTTGTAGTGTTATGGGAGTTGGCTCTTGACTTTGTTCAAGTCAAGGAGGCAGGCTCTAGTGAGAAGAAGACATTCACGACTCCTAACCCCCGTGTACCAGTGCCATATACTTACTTGATGGCTTGGTATGTCTTGCATTTCCCTTCATTAATGAGTGTAGCTTCTCCCCACAGTGACTCTTACATTCAACTCGTGCATCGGTTTGAAGCGGCTAAGTGGGAGGGTTGGTATGTGGTTAAGATCCGTCAAATTTTGTCAAGGGATCTTAACTACCATGTTTTTTGTTGCTTACCTGACTTTGAAGGTGGAGGCTATGGTGAAACTTTTTAGGATGTGATGGGCCCTAATGGTTTTACAAAACTAAATGGAGGCGTCTTCCGCTAGCTAATCAACATTAGACCGGGTTATCTCCTCTTTAGGCCGGGCGGTAAATGTTTCATTGAGCCCTATCAACCTTATAAGTTTGCCCGACTGTTCGGCTATGATTAGCTATACATTGAGAATCCTAGGTCTTAGCTCACAACCATCGGCAATTTATATGAAGGAGACATGGCTTGATATTATTCGGTGGCTGGCGGTACAGGAGCAACATTCAAATTGCCCCACAAAATGCCTAACTCCTTCACTACCATGGGCTTCTGTGCTTGGTATCATGTTGCTTCTCGAATCTTTGAGTACAAATTGAACACCTCTTGTCTGAAAGAGATCAGAAGGATGTACAAATCAAAGAGAGGGTCCAAAATATCTTGTCTGAAAGGAATCAATGAATATTTAACTTGTGAAGAAGTAGCCGTTGATGAAGAAGGAGGCAAGGCAACCAAGGAAACCCAAGCAGAAGAACCCAGAGTAGATGAGACTCACGAAGGGAGAGCAACAGGTAAAAGAGCTCTCACGTGATAAGAAGCTTACCAACATGAGAAACGGGTTTTCCGAAAGTTATTGATTGGGTCCCTTATGTCTAAAGGTCCACGGGGAGCAAAACTCATGCAGGATGCTTTTATGTCGGTGCATGATGTACATATAGGAGGGGAGGTGATTAGAGTCATATGCTAATCTAATCCAATTTTATGCCAATTAAAACTTATTAATAAATTATTCTTGCAATATAGATATACAAGATGTTATGAACAAGAATATGCAATATGAACAAAGAGATATATCCTATATGGTGAAATATATGCAATGATATATAAACACAAATGTAAATAAATGTTACACAATAAAGAGATAAAAGCGATATATGATGTGAGCACAATTAAAGATGAATGCCAAGCAAACACAAACACATAATATGTTCACGAGGTTCGGTCCCCACGACCTACGTCCCCGCTCCTCACCTCGAGGAGATCTCCACTATCACGACCCGGTTTGGAAGCCTGAACTTCTACACACTCGGTTTTCAAGCTCACCAAAAACTCTCACAATCAATCACTATGCAATCATACTATACACACTAAGTGTTAGTCTCTAGCCCGTGCCCTCCTCCTCAAGTGCTCAGATATAACCTCTCCCTAGGTTCGTCAACCGACGCCACGCCTCTAGGATTCGACCCCGTCTCTCACCACACACTTCTCTCGGTGTACAAGTGTATTACCAGTGATACTCATAATATAAACTCAAGTACAATGTTTTGTTCTCTATAATAAATGAGAACACAATGAAGCTCACTCTCACTAATTCACACACCAATACCCACTAATATATTGTATGAAATAATCTAAGCTCAATAATGGTGTGTGTGATAAATGAGAATAATAAAATTCTAACTCAATTTAATATAGAAAGATATGAATATGAAATTAACAATCAATAAGCTATATAAAAGAGTTTAGAAAAACTTCTCTACAAACACAAAGAACTGAAGAAATGATGATGATGATGAATTCCTCAATTGAAATTGAAAGCTTCTTCTTTGTGTAAAACTTCTCTTTTGAAACAAAACTTGAAACAAGGCTTTAAACACCTCTTAAACACTTGTATGCTTAATTAAAATAAATCTCTTGGTTGGTCAGAATGTTAAATAAATTAGGGTATTTATAACAACCCAAAACATCAGCAAGAACCCAAGTAAAAAGACCAAACAGCAAGA